AAGAAAGAAAGAAAGAAAGAAAGAAAGAAAGAAAGAAAGAAAGAAAGAAAGAAAGAAAGAAAGAAAGAAAGAAAGAAGGAAGGAAGGAAGGAAAGAAAGGAAAGGCGAAAGGAAGAAAGGAGAAAGGAAGGAAGGAAGGAAAGAGAGAGAGAAAGACAGAAAGAAAGAGAGAGAAAGAGAGAAAGAAAGAAAGAGAGAGAGAGAGAGAGAAAGAAAGAGAAACCTCAGGGGTAAAAGCTGCCCCTGGGAAGAAAGGTCCACTCTGCCAAGTAACTACAGGGATCTCTTGGCAGAGCACCAGGCCCAGGCCACCACTGGTCTCCTAAAAATAAAGAGGGATATGTAAACTGGCAGGTGTCCTTTGCATATTCTGTTCACTCAAATGTAAGAAATCCAGTTTTGTATCTACAACTAAATCCTTTATCCCCTTAAAGCTACCTTCAGTAGCCAGTAGAACAGGCAACAAATGTACCAATCAACACCCAAGTGATTGAGTGTAAAAAATACATACCCAGTCTCCCATTTCCCACCAGGTTTCCTCTTTGAAGGCTTGCGTTTTTGTCTTCTGCCCCCTGAAAGAATAATATCTGATTTATATCCTGAAAATTGGCATTATCGAGCAACTAGGAGAAAGGTAATACTAAGAGAAGCCACAGTCAAGTACAGTAAAATAGATGAGCAACATCTATCAGTAAAACTATGTATCAAGGTTGCCTTCTGAGTGACTTTATCTAGGGGATCACTGAGACATCAGTGCAGTGAACTGGGAAATACCATCACAGAAACTGAGGAGGCTAGGTTATGTGGACCATTGAGGCACACAGGGGCATAAGGAGTGAAATGATATAACTCATACTAGCAGCAGCACCCTTCACTCAATCTGTAAACCCAACCTTAATCTCCACTCACACTGTTAGTAACTCTACCAGGAGCTTGGGAGCTAAGAACTTCCATCACTCATTCCTTAAGGAATTCATTGAACATGACTAACAAGCCAATCATGAAGCTACAGCCTGTGATAATTCCTCCTGTGAAAAAGCTACTGGAAGAATTGACTCAGGATCAACACTGTGATCTGAAAAGATGTCATGAGGTTGGCAACCTTTTATAGTCAGAGGAACTAACAGTACAACAAGATCTTATGAAAATGTAATAAAGTTCAAGTTCTAGTGCAGAAGAAAAGGAAAGAAGGAAGAAGGGAGATTGGAGCAAAGGGATGGATAGAGAGACAAGGATATGGGGGAGAAAAAGGAACAGGGGGAGGGAAAGAGAAAATTGAGGGGAGGGAAAAAAGGAGGGAAAATGAAAGGACAGGAAGGAACAGAAGAGACAAGGAGGAGAAGGGAGAGAAGAGGGGAGAAAAGGGAGGAGAGAGGGAAGGGAAGGGCCGAGAGAAGGGAGAGGGGGAGGGAAAAGAGGAGAGGGGAGTGCGGAAGGCAGGAGAAAAGATGAAAAAGCAGAATGGAATTCCTTGAAGACAAAAGTTACAAGGAAAAAATACTCCAGTGAGTGGAATACTCAGAAAGAGGAGTATAAGAACAATAATACCTTGGGTACACCTCTCATATTTGGAGTGGCCAAAATTAATTGCTTCTAGGAGGCTGGGACTTGCAGAATGGGCAGCCAGACCACAATTACATCAAACAAATAAAGCACATTAGACACACTTGGACAGAGAGCCCCTCCCCTGGGACACAGACATGGCATACCTGACTTTACAGGTGGCACACATAAATGTTTGGTCTTTTCCTTCCTTTTCTTTGGTTGCTCCACTTCACACGCAGGAATTTCTTTAGATGGAACCTTTTCACCTGTAAATTCTAGGTTAGCCTCAGGATCATTTGATCATTTTCACCAAGATCCTGCTTCTTAATGATATTATAAGGTGAACTGAGCTGGGAGACAGAAAATCTATCCTCCTCATTTTTATTTGAAAAAATTTGGCCCTGATCATGGAAATGCCCTCCTATTTAGCTCAGAAGACAATTTTTATTGTCATCATCAGTCATTGTTGGAAGCTCCTAGGTGACTGGCTGTATAACTATGCTCCCTTTACTCATTTTATACTAAACATCACATTATTAAGCACAAATTAAACAAACTGGACATTGTGAACCTAAACATAACAATTTAGAGTCTTGGTTACTTTATGTTGTTTTCTGTTTGTCTTTTTTTTTTCACTTTACTGGGAGCAGTGACAGATGAAAGAGCAATCAACAGTGGCAAAACACATATCCTAAATAGAACAATACACTTGCTCAATGCTTCTCAGACAAGAGTTTTTACATATGGATATATTCAATACTCCAAAGCAAAATAAGAGAAAATAGGAGTTTTTTTTTTATTTTTTTGTCGGTCGTGGGGCTTGAACTCAGGTTAGGTGCTGTCCTTCAGCTCTTCAGCTCAAGGTGAGCACTCCACCACTTGAGCCATAGAGCCACTTCCAGTTTTCTAGTGGTTTACTGGAGATAAGAGTCTCACAGGAGTTTCCTGCTTGGAAAAAAAATTGTCTCATGGACTTTCCTGCCAGGGCTGGCTTTGAACCGTGATCGTCAGCTCTCAGCCTCCTGATTACAGGCTAGGATTACAGGCATGAGCCACCGGCGCCAGGCTAGGAGTTTTTTACATCAAGCTAAATTTCTGTAATTGAGTAGGAGTTTCTTTTCCTAGAAGTTCTATAAAATGTCTATATAACTCTATAATTTCTATATAATTCTAAAATTTCTATAAAACTGAGAAGAGTATAACTGATTTTATGTGATTGTGATTATCTAGCTAACCTTTTGGTATTCTTTAGCTTTTGTAACTATGCAGGTATTAGATAGTAGTTGGCACTGTTGAAACCATAGTTCACAAGTTTCTAGTAAGGTGGAAAGAAGGCAGGGCTTGGGTCCTACTCCTTTCCTGTGCAAGTGATTCCCATATGTAAAGAAAAGGTGAAAGAGAAGCTAAGAGTACAGGACAGCAGCCCTGGATTCTCAGCCTCAGTGCTTCTATTTTGGAGTGAAAGCATAAGCAGGTAAAAGTCTAAGGGGAAAACTTTAGGTCTAAGGCAACATAAACAGTTGCTGCTGTGGTAGGAAATGGATGTGTAGGCAGAAAGAAGACAACCACTTTTGCATCTAGCCCATAGAAAGAGAAATGGTGACACTAGCTACTAAAGGATTGTGATCTCAAAGTTTAGCTTAGAACACACAAACTTTCTAAAGGACAAGTATACTTGCCTTTATTGCTTTTCTTACAAATTTTAGGTTTCTTTTTCCTCAGAAAGAGGTCATCATCAGATTCTGAGTCAGTAAACACATGCCTAAACATGAGACATGAGAAAGAGAGAGGGAGAGAGATCTGAACACAACATTCTTCTCTTTGTGGCATTTTCTACCTTTTCTAGAATGATCAAGCAACTGTTCCTTTCTTTGGAACTATTCAGACTTTCCATTGCTTCTGATTTTCCTTCTTCCTGTGCATCTTTCCCTGTGTCTCACATCCTTTCAAAAGGAGATATCTGTCATGTGCTAAGTATAAACTGGGTACTCTCTCAGTACTGTTATCCTAACAGTACTGGGTAAAATCAGGTCAGAGAAATGTCTATTAGGTTCTCCTCCTTATTTTCAATTTACAGATGCAGTGGTCTGACAAAGACAAAGAGCAACAGTTCAAACTGTCTACCTTAGAAAACAGCAGCTTCTCCTCAGTACCACTCTGCAGTCAGAAGTTAGCACCCAACTCTGGTGGCAGAGTGTTACACATAGCCTACAACTATTCAGCCAGGAGACACACGCAGCAATTCCCCCTGTACTACTCAGGTTGAAGTGTTCAAGTACTTCCTGGGGTCCTTTGCTAGCCTTTGTAATTCCAGCAGGCTTAAGTTTATCACCTTCCAATATTTTTAACACTGTATGATAGCTGTGATATAGATTATTTTGTTTGGGGGCGATACTAAGATTTGAGCTTGGCTTAACACTTGCTTGGCTTTTTTACTTGGCTGATGTACTATCACTTGAACAGAAACTCTGACCCTGCTGTTTGATGGATATTTTGGAGACAGCATCTTCCTAACTATTTTGCCTAGGTTGCCCTGAATTTGCTATCCCCAAGAGCTAAGTCTTTTGAGTAGTACAACGTATTATTCTAAGATATCAGTGACCAATTCACATCCCAGTTTTGCCCACTGTTCTCACCTAAGTTCCCCAACTCACCTCCAGGAATTTTTCAAAGCCCTTCTAGGTCAATCTAATCAACAATTAATGATTGTACTGCTAATCACATATGTGTACATATTTGTATTATGTAAATGACATGTATGTAATATATATGCACACTCATATTTGCCTATATAGAAATTCTGTGGGGACTACTGATATATTTCAGTTAGCATGTGGATGTCTGTTTTGTACAGGCAGGCATCCATCTTCACTATTTAGATATTTATTTAACATCTATCTGGCACAAGCTGGAAGAAACATACTTTTTATAAACAGGGACTCCAAACGTAGCTGAGGAAGACAATACTTTAGATGTTCCTGCCTCTGACTCCTGAGTACTGGGACTAGCTAGACATGGTCCTCATGGTGTTTACAGAGGAAATGCAATTTTACTCTTACCCAGAATATAAGGCTGTTACCTTTAAAACAACAGTTTCAAAGATTCTCCTACTTACCTAATCAGTGGTGGCTTTGGGATCACAGCTAAATCAGAGGAGGGAAGGAAAACCCACAGCATTAGGGAGCATATTAAGCATAATAAAATCACTCTAAATTCAATATGTATAAATTATAGCTTGTAAAATTTACATCTCGGGCTGGGAAGGTGGCTCAGTGGTAGAGCTCTTGCCTTGCATGCATGAGGCCCTGGGTTCAATTCCTCAGTACCACATAAGTAAGCAGAAAAGAAAAAAAAAGCTAGAAGTGGTGCTGTGGCTCAAGTGGTAGAGTGCTAGCCTTGAGCAGAAGAGCTGAGGGACAGCACCCAGGCCCAGAGTTCAGGCCCCAGGAACGGACCCAAAAAAAAAATTTACATCTCCTTGGGCTGAGTAAGGGTGTGCCTCAGTATGCCTAAGGACTTGGGTTCTATCCCTAGCAACAGAATACTTTTAAAGAAAAGGATTTACAGCTCTCATGAAGGAGTGAAAGATACACAAGAGATACAACAATGGAAGACCCAAGAGATTAAAAAAAAAAAAACTAGAAAAGCAAGCTAGAGGACTGTGGCTAAGAGGATAGAGATAGGAAGCTGACCATTCATGAAAGAGACTCTTATCTCCAACTACACAGCAAAAAGCTGGAATGGGTAGTATGGCTCAAGTAGAAAGGTATCAATTATGGTAGCTCATACTTGTAATCCTAGCTACTCAGGTGGCTGAGATCTGAGGATCTCAGTTCAAAGCCAGCCTGGCCAAGAAAGTCTGTGAGACTCTTTACTACAAAAAAAAGCCAGAAATGGAGCTATGACTCAATGGTAGAGCACTAGCCTTGAGCAAAAGCAGCTCAGGAACAATGCCCAGGTCCTGAGATCAAGCTGAAGATCAACGCGATTGTATGTGTGTGGATGTGTGGGCGCACGCACATGCACATACACACACATGCACATGCGTGCGCGCGCGCGCGCGCACACACACACACGGAAAACAAAGCCAAGATACAGTGGAACTGTGTCAGTACTGGCACAGAATACACACACATACATGCGTGCACATACACATGCATGCACACACAGAAAGCATAACTCTACGGAAATAAACTTCCCCTGTCTAGAAAAAGATTTAGATAACCTAGGAATAGATAATGCAAAGCATATCAAATCTCATTTCAGGTATCTAAAAAGACATTTCAACATGAGCCTTGCAACTTACAGGTTTCAAAGTCATCACTGCTGCTTGAATCCACTGCAGTAAGATGCCTGAAAAAAATAACAAATTTTCTTTGAAATGAGGGCCACTGGTATAAGCAACAAAATATTTATTTATTTACTTACTTATTTATTTGGTCATAAGGCTTGAACTCTGGGCCTTAGCGCTGTCCCTGAGCTCTTCAGCTCAAGGCAAGTGCTCTACCACTTGAGCCACAGTGCCACTTCTAGTTTTTCTGGTGGTTAGTTAGAGATAAGAGTATCACAGACTTTCTTGCCCTGCCTGGCTTTGAAACGTGATCCTCAGATCTTACCTCCTGAGTAGCTAAGATTACAGGCGTGAGCAACCAGTGCACAGCAAAAAACAAAATCTCAGTAGTCTCTAATAAATGAACAGGACAACCACAGTATCCCAAATACAAAAACTTCTCAAAAACCAGCACTAAAATAAAACAAAATACTGACTTAAAATTTTAAAAAAAAACAGCATCAATTATTCTGAATCATAATCTCAAAAGAATGAAAGCAGGTAACTATGTGAAAGTAGACTTTTACATTTTTTTTTTGTTTTCTCTTCTTTTTTTGCCAGTCCTGTGGCTTGAACTCAGGGCTTGGGCACTGTCCTTGAGCTTCTTTTGCTCAAAGATAGCACTCTACCATTTGAGCCATAACACCACTTCCAGCTTTTTCTGTTTATGTAGTACTGAAGAATCGAATTCAGGGCTTCATGCATGCTAGGCAAGCACTCTACCACTAAACTACATTTCCAGCGTCCCCCCCCCTTTTTTTTTACAGTACTGGGATTAAGCCCAAGGCCTCATGCTTGATAGCAAAGTGCTTTTCCACTTAAGCTACAACCCAGACCTTGAGCTCTTTATTTTCCCCCAAGCCAGCCAAACTGAGACTCTCCTTTCTCTACCTCTCTACATGCTGGAATTATAGGCATGCACCACCATAGCCACATGACTCAAACATTTATTGAGCATCTAATATATGCTAGAAACTATCGCTACAAATAAAGAATAAGACTTCCAAGGATCTCACAGTCTAGTAGCAAGGAGAAAAGAAGTAAATAGATGTTTTTCATTAGCTTAATCCAGAATGACTGGAATCAGAAACTACATTTATTTTATTTTTTATTTTTCAGCTAATTCTGGGGCTTGAACTCAGGGCCTGGGCACTGTACCTGTGGTTCCTTTGCTCAAAGCTAGCACTAACACTTGAACCACAGTGCCACTTCTGACTTTTTCTGTTTTTGTGTTACTGAGGAATCAAACCCAGGACTTCATGCATGCTAGGCAAGCACTCTACCACTAAGCCACATTCCCAGCCCTAGATTTATTTTTCCCAAACTAGGAATGGAATCCAGGGTCTTGCTCAACCTAGCCAAGCACACTAGCACATCCCAGCCCTGACAAATCTCAGGAAATTTTGGTGCAGGGAACTATAATACCATACTTTCAGAAACACTAGTTGAGTTATTAGAGTCTTCTTTAACTTAAAACTGGGAACTGAAAATATAATAGTATGACATGATGTTTGTCTGGCACAGCTACTTTTTTTTTTTTTGAGGTCCGGTTGTGGGGCCTGAACTCTGGGCCTGGGCGCTGTCCCTCAACTCTTCAGTTCAAGGCTAGCGCTCTACCACTTGAGCCACAGCGCCACTTTCAGCTTTTTTCTTTTTGCTTATGTGGTGCTGGGGAATCGAACCCAGGGCCTCATGCATGCAAGGCAAGCGCTCTACCACTGAGCCACCTTCCC